AGGCCTTACGATATATCTACGCCTATTTGTAAAATGTTTTCCACGTTTCACAAATCCACGTTTATCCGAACGATGTTATCGTGCGCGAAACAATAATACCGTACAATACCATTTTCTTTATCTCTGTAACATCAAATCGCAGCAGCTCGTACAATTTATCGCTTCGAGTAAAATTACAGTTTTTTATTCCGTTCACAATGAGAGCATTAGCAGTCATATATGAAACGCTCGACTACCTTGTCGTACACCACATTACAATCGTCATAAAACACAACGATCGGATTCTAATTATCAGATGGATCAATACAGCGATACGCGTGAAAATCTCGCAGATCGAATGACCGAATTAAATTCTGGCGCAGAATTAATGCAATTTCAACATCAATTGTAATGTAATTTCAATAGCTGTCATCGTCATGGATTCATGCCGATTCCGCCTCGTAAACGCATATGAAAGATACCGTTTAGTCGATTCAAAAATAAATCCCGAAAAAAAAGGGAAGGTAAATCACGCGACGAAAGTACTTCCTTCGATTAATACTCATGCATGCTCGCGCGTACGAGAAATAGCGCGGTTGCAAGTTCGAGAATCGATATCAACGTTATAGACGTCTCTGCTCCATTGCGGCGCCATACGCGCAATGTAAAAATCTCGATATCCGACAGCCGTGGTGCTCAACCAGTGACAGTAAAACGCCGGGAGTCGACGCGTTAAACGAACACGCTGCAAGCGTAATCCCCGACGGAACATTCTGAAATTTTAACGAAGACTGACTTCCGCCCTCTCTTCGACGTTTTTCCATCCGCGATGCCTTTCTGGGGCATCGATCGCAGATTACTTCGTCGGAACTTCAAAACTGATTACTGCGAAGCGAGCGAGTATTTTGTATTTCAAATGCGGGGGGGGGAGGAAGAGATAGGCGAGTCAAAGCTGCTGCTTTTTCGACGTATTGACTATTTCCGAAAAAATATTTCGTAAGGACAGAAAATGATATATGTATCCCAAGTGCCTACGAAGAATCGGTCATATATGAAAAGTTATGCGAAGAAAAATCGGTTATGAAAAGTTCTTTGTGTATATTGAAAGCCCGCATCAGAGACTATATACGTTGAAGATTGATAGGCTGTGAATTGGAGATTAGAATTTAACCAAACGGAACGAAACGGAATAAAATTAAAATTATCTGATTACTGGTCGAATCTTCAATTTCTGAAGCCTCAATCTCCAATACGTAATCTGATACAAACTTGACACTCACAAATAATATTGATTGAAAATGATGTATTTTGTTCTAACTAAATACATATAATTGTTGAAACAAAACTAGATAAATAGATTAAAAGACGTCTTAATGATATCTTTAAGACGTTTTACATCCCTGGATGATTTTGAACATGCGTACCATCTGGATAATTTCGTCTTTATTTGAAAAAAATATAAAGATTTAACCTACATCGTGTTTCGCTGATAACACGAAAGCACGAAGGTATCTACCATTTTAATATCATTCTTAACGCAATAACATCTATCAGAAATTCACATTTGATCAAACTCATGCGCATCACGTCACTGACAGGTACTTCACTGGTCTAGCCTGATAGTCAATCGATCGATGTTAAAGTTGACAGACTGTCGACTTTACTATCGATCGAACGTTTAAACGATGTTAATGCTTTATTGCTCTTCAAAGCCACGTGCGTGGTACATAGGGAATGTACACACACGCAACACAACACACGTGTGAAATTGTATTTTTCGATCGTAAATAAAGCACTTCAAATTATAAATCGACAATTGTGTGTGCAATGCAAAAATAATAAATTAAAAGCTTAAAATCAGTAGTAATTAACATCTATCCTATAATCAAAGAATAAATATTTTAAATTTTGGCGTTGAAAAACTTTTTGTTCAGCAACTAATTGCAACGTAATAAAGCTAAGAAAAAGAATCATACATGTGATTCTGTTATACATAAAGTGGTGTGTTGCTCGTTAAGAAACGCGGTGTTCTATTTTAAAGACCGACCTCTTTGCGAGAGCAGCTCTCAGAAAGCTGCTCAGTACTTCGGTAATTGAGAAACAGCTATCGTAAAACGTAACGTAGAAAAATACGCAGTGCCCGCAGTAGTTTCGTAGGAAGGCTTTTTCCGTTCGACCGGGAATAACTCACGATCGGTAGGCGATCAGTGCGATGGGGGAGGAGACCGAGGACGGAGGAAAGGTCCGGAGGCTTGAAATCTAGTCCTTTCGAGAAAATATTTCGCACGAGGCCGGCAATAAATCGAATGACTTATTACTGCAAGCCGCGTAATCTCGGACTCGCTCGGAAGAAATGTGCTGCGCCATCGAAAATAGATATGTCGCGGACCAGATTCATTCAAAAACACGACCATGAATTTTACATCAGCGCGTCAGGCTAAAGCTAACAGATTCTGAATCGAAATTAAACTCGGGACGCGCGCGCGCGCACGCGCGCGGCCGAGGAAGTCGAGGAAGAAAGGAGAAGCTGCCCATCGTTCTCCACTTACTGCACTGATTGATTTACGACTGACACAACGCAACGAAGACGAGTGAAGCGATGATCGATCAGTAAAGATCACAGCATATTGGTAACGAAAAACGTGTGGAAGAAATTTTATGATTATTTAATATAGAAGGATAAAAGCAAAAGTAGAAAAGCGAGATAATTGAGTTATTTGATCGCAATACATATTATAATTCCTTTTCTATTCGACTTAATTCACAAAAATTAGTTAATGATATAACCTATATGACATTCGATGGATAATGTGTTATTGATGGAATATTTTACATTTTGAATATATTAAAGTTTGGATGTAGAAAATAAAGATAGAGGAGGTGTATCTGTAAAAATTTGTCAAAGCACTTAATACTGAGGGATTGTCTCGAGTCTAGATCAAAAAAATTTTATCGCTTTGCCGTGCGACCTTTAACACATGAGTGATGACGGCGAAAAGATATTAATGCCGTGGCTCCGTTTCAACGAACCAATAAATTCCGAGTTTAAATCCGACGGTTTAACTTTAGTGTTGCTGAACGATCACGCGAGTTCAATCGTCGCACGGTATTTCGCTTCAGAATGTTTATCGCGGAACTTTGGTATTCCCGCTAACTTATGATTTCGCATATTTTCTCGAGTGAAGTCACCCTTAACTTTCTAAATGTATTCGTTGTACTTTAATCGCGCACCGAAAAGAAAAAAATTCCAGTGTAATATATGTATGTCAAAAATACAATATGTGTCACACCTTATTAAAAGAGATATAAATATATTTTTCTTTCTTTTCTTTTTTCATTGTAAAAAAAGTAATTTGTACATACAAATATTTTAAAACTACAGAGATTTTATCAAATAAAGAAAGCTTGGGAAAGAGTGCGGAGTTAATTAGAGTCGAAATTTTCCAACAACTTCTTGTTATCGCTTTATCGTTTGGTCTTCTTTGACGATTTCAGCAGCAATTTCGACAATATGACAAAAAAACTTTTCCCGAAAATCGCAACAAGTTCCTAACGGTCAAAACCTGTTTCCGCAGGGATTAACGTCGTAAAATGTTCTAGGAGGAGCCAACGCCGCGGATCGCGGCCATGTCGAAACTTCGCCATAGCTGCTCGCGACATGTCGATGTTTTTCCGAGAGAGTTTCTCAAATCACGCGAATTTAATTCCGGTCGAGTCCCGGAGTCGTACACGGCTGCGAAACTTCGTTGACCGAACGAAATGCAGTTTTGTCGCGGTCGGGCGCCGATGCGCCGTGATGGCAGGTCGCACCGCGGTTGCGGTGATTCTATTATACGTTGCACTGTTACCGAACGTGTCATCCGTAATTATGATTGACGAACCGATTTATTATACGCGTATGCGCGTCACTCTTAGCGTAATCAGTTACGCATAAATCATATAAACAGCATACCACCCACACATATCTGTATGTAAACTGCATACATAGCGAATGAGATATATGGGGATACAGTCGTTATTTTGAAGGCATCTAAAGCCCAGATAAAGCTATAGGTACCTGGGTTAGCATATGACAGCAATTAGCAAGTCACTATTGCTATCAACCTGAATATGACTTTCTGCTAGCTATTATAACACATCTGACACGATTAGCTTTATCGATGAGCGCCGATATTGATGACTTCTTACTGTATTTAACACGTGGATCGACTAGAAACGTCTGCGGCAAAGACGACGTTATAATATAGACGCGGGAGTGTCGTTCGTTAAATTATGTACTCGTCTAAAGTTATTTTCAGACTTCTATATCAGGACAGAATAGTCGGACGAAGTGACACGAGTTGATAGAAGTCGCCGCGTGCAGAAATCTCTTTAATGCAAGCGTCCTTGAATACTAATAGGCGAGAATATGTTATACTTATATACATCTTGATTTCATATCAGTAATATTGATTTTATGTCAGTAATATTTGAAAATTTGTAATAAGAAAACGCGACGGTTATCGTAAATGGAAAAAAATTGTGTAATTTAGTAAAGACATTCAGAAAGCAAACGCATGATCTATAAATCAGCTTTAAATTAGTCTTATATATGTCTCTTGCCAGAAAATGAAAGGTATTTTAAACTAGAAAATTTAAGTATATTGTATTCAATAAATATTCGAATAATGAACAGATATACTTCATAAAAATCTTGCCATTAATAATCGTTACTAACGTTTGCTATAACTTTGATATCTCAGTATCTGTAACTTAATCGAGACACTTATGCCACGTTATATTAATCCTTACGATATCGTATCTTTCAATCAATAAATGTAACGGCCTCCCTTATTCGAATCGTTGAGGATTTCATGGTTCCCTCTCTCGTCAATACCTTCAAGTCGTTCGAAGAAATATCGTTCGTGCCCTTTCGTTTCTGAAATGGCTTAGACGAGCGATAAAGAAAATCATAACGCGAGTAATGTCGCGTACAATCTCACCGTAAAATATCGGAAGTGCGTTTTCTCGGTCAAGCTTACCTTGAGGTAGGACGGTGAGCAAGAGGACTATTTGGAGACCGGCGGCGATCGTATTATGAAACTTTATTCGCAACTGCGGTAGACCTCTTGCCTCGTGCGCCATGGCAGATGAATTTTGCAGGCCCAGGTCGAGGCGCGACACCGACATGCCGATGTTCATCTATCCGGTCCCGACGTACCCCGTCGTGACCGTGATGCACTGCACAATTTTGCGTGTTCACTTCTACACGCAGCGGTCACCGCCGCGAGTATCGCCCGGAAGCGCTTTGTCACCCGCTGCGTCACTGATTATCATCATCGTGCAGGGTGTCACGAGTCGAGTTCAATTCCGCGCGAATCGTCCGCTAATCGATACTCGATGCCCTCGCTAACGCACCCCCCGACTTCGCCGTCATAACCAAGCGTTCTTCCGCGCGCCTCGGTTGTGCGTTATTCCCGATCGCTGTGAGGTGCCGGCGTTTTATCGTTCGCAGAGAGAACGCGCTACGTTCGCGCGATGGTGCTTCCCAACGTTTCGAGCATTCTCACGGGGGATCCTGAAAATAATGATTTCGTACGTGTGAACGAACCCTCTCTCGCACTCACTTCCCATCGCGCGCGGCGTCGTTTCACGGCATGCGTTTACGTTATCTTCTGAATTCAGCGAGATTGCTTTCAGTTGTTAATGCGTGCTGAAATACTCATCGACAAATACTAATGTTTATTATAGCTTTTTAATCATGCGTTAGTTATAAGCTTGAATTTTCCTTGTTTAGACAATCATGCACTATTCAATATTTTAGATTTATGTTAGACTAAAAATTGGTCACAGCTCGTCAAGATGAAATTATTTTAGTATAAAATATATATCACCTAGATTTCTTAATATATTGCTGAAGCAAAAAGTATTTGAAAACTACAATAGTTTTAAATTTTATCCTTATTTTAAAATATTCACTATAACTGTATGTTCAATGAAATTTTTAATAAAATAATTCAATACTAAATTTAGAAACATTTTTTTTTCTCGAGACTTATATATAGAAACAAAATTTTGATAAAAGTATCTACAACATTTTTTTCTTACTGTAGTTCCAAATTAAAATTATGCACGAAATTTATGCAGTTCAAATACTATTTGCTGCAAGATAGTGAAATGACGCTCATTTGAATGTTGCTGTCATTTATTGCAATACTTCTTTCCGATATGTAATGGCTGCGAGTGTCGTTACGGGCATCGAAAACTTAGGTGATTTACAAGCGGGGCGGTTGATTTACTATTTCACTATCAGCAAGAAGAGATTTCTTGTATTCCCCTTGGAAAAACGTGCCACGACTGGAAATGATCGGTTTGGCCAAACCCCGTTATCGTAAATTTTTCATTTTCTTGGTGAGATCGAAAGAATTATTAATATAATTGAAACATATGCAGGCTCATAAATTGATCTCTACGAGTTAGACCAAAAAACTCTTTGTAATCGAATAATTTATTAACCTATTAAGTCCCAGAAAGTTCCTACGCACTTTTTTGTTTTAAATCTTATAACTCGGATTCTAATCAAAATTTTTAGATCGCAATTGGTACTTAGAAGTAAAAAAAGTTACTCTTTCCGAAAATCTAGTCGGTGATGAGATGAGATGCCTAAGAAAAAAGATATAAAAGTTAAAAGTGTAGGTAAAAAGAATAAGTGACACCTGTCTTTTTACTGATAAATGTTCTACTAATGAATAATTTTTTCTATTTTTTTACATTTTTTAAATAAAATAAATCTATATAATAATTATTTAAGTAATCTATAATAATTATATCGATGTATTTTATTTAAAAAAGTAAACACAATTATTTATTAATTGAATACTTATAAAAAGGCAAGGGTCACTTCCTTTTTTATCTTCACTTTCTACCTTTATATCTTTTTTTTTTCAGACATCCCACCTGATAGTCGACTAGATTTTCAGAAAGAGCAACTCTTATTACCTCTAAATACTAACTGCAATCTAAAAAGTTTTGTTTAGGACTCGAGTTACAAGAATTTAAAACAGAAAAGCGCGTAGGAGTCTTAACGGGTTAATATTATTACGAGAAAATATGAAGAGTTCAATTATATACACAATATAACGTATTGAATTTGAATAAAATCTGTAAAGATTTTGTAACTTATATAATTTTGCATTATCGAAAAAAAATTTGACGTCATATTTTACTATACGTAAAAAATATTTGTATTTAAAAAAACAAAGAAATATAAATATGCTTGAAATAAGAAAGTAAAAATTAATAATCTTGCTATTGTCTCGTGTTTTAAAAATACGCGAGAGCGCATTATAACTCGTCATTCGTCTCGCACATTTATTTTCACATGCAACATCACCGAATTACACTAATAAAAGGTGTTCTCTATTTCGTTGTAAAAATGCGCGAATTAATTAGCAACCCATTCCACACAACCGATCAGCCATTGATCACAAGTCCAGTTACGATGACCTATTTATCGGATTCACGAGGGAGTGCATTAAATGGCACGCCATTACCGCGGTTTCTGCCTATCGACACAGGTAGCAATTTTTCCATTGTCTCGCACGTCTCAGAGAAGCAACAATGGCGCGAGTTTTCATCTCACAGGAAATGCGTCTGTGGAGTTTTGACGCCGCGACTAGTTTGATACGGGAACGTACCCAAGACTATATACGGTATCTTGCACGCGGTATCATTTTATCAATTAGCGCGTACGTCGCGGAGCTTTGGCATGCATTCCGCGAACGTATCGCCGGCTCTCGTCGATACGACAAAGCAGATCTTGCCTCGAAATTAGTGCGAGAGCTCGGCGCCCGGTTTACAGGTGTCCGCGGCGACTACGCTTCCTCATTCGATACCGAATGCTCCCGTTCTGCCCCACGCGGCGGCGTCCATCGTTACGAGTACTCTCACCCCGTTCTCGACCGGCACTGGGGCTCACTTCGTTATTCGCCGACACCCACCACGTCGACGATTCGATCAAAATTTCCGGTTGCAAACACGAAATGACATTTAGCCACGGATAATACGCTCAATAATTCGCGCGAGCTTGTAAAAAAATATTTTTCAATACAAAAAAAAAGGAGGATTCAAGAAGAGTCCACAGTGAGCTATCTCGCGATTCCACGGCTTTGCACGAGACGTGCAGGAACTACTTCGTCGACACCAACAACTGATGCCTCGATGAATCCAACGACTGTAAACCGTAGTATCGCGAACGACGCCGCGGTTATTTTCTCGCGATTAGCTTCTCGAACCGCAAGCACGCTGCCGCGATATTTGCGACCTATATACGCGCTCTCTTTTCCTCTCTCTCTCTCTCTCTCTCTCGCTC